AAGTACAGAGCTCCTCCATTATCTACACTGTGTGCTGACATTGCTCAGTTATTCCTCCTGACTGTATGGCCTATAAAACCCTCTGCAGTGGCCTAATAGCATTTTTATTAGCCAGATACAGCTGACATGCGCTTGATAACGAAAGACGGGAAAATGAAACTAACAACAGGGTCACAAATGTTTATCTCAGACAAACGGGAAGGAAATGTGTTGGTCTCTGAAGTTTTCATCACTTTGAACATGATAATCATGTGTGTTAATTCAGTGTTGTGACATTTATGGGTTTCTGGCGATGCCTCAAACTGAACATAGTCTATGAATATAAAATTAGAAAGGATTCTGTTAAAGTTAATGTGAATTGGAAATCATAAGGCAGTTTTCTTCCATATCGTGATGTATATGTGACTGAAATACAGTATTAGGGAGGGTCTCTGAGCTAGCTGAGCATATTCTCAGACAGAGAAGACATTTTAGAGACAAACAAGTCATTAAGGTTTGATAAAAGATTATTGGGAAAACAAGAATTCTGACATTTAACTCTTTAAAACTCTTTAAAATCCGAGCCTAGGGCTTTTTATTTAGACCTGGACTACAATGCAAACTGGCCAAGTTATTCTGAAAGGGCTCATATCACTAACAACTGAATTTTCCTCACTTTTGTAAAATATAAGAGTTTTGGGTCAAAGTTGTTTAATTCTTTGTTACTGAGATGACATGAAAACCAACACATTTACATATATCCACATATTCAGTCTACAGCATTTTAGCTCCGCCCACTTGTGCTGATATGGAGCATTTCAGTCCAGCACTGCTTCCTGAATGAGGTACGATACAGGGCAGCCAATCAGAACAGAGCCACTGACACATAACAGTCTTAAAGGCAAGTAACAAAAACAGACTGTTTAATTATAAGGGATAAACAGAGGCTGTAAAAATGAATTACAGCGGAACATAAAAACACAAATATTATAAGAAAAATGTAGGATATGAGCCCTTTAATATCAAGGCCTCCCAATCCCAGTCCTGGCGAGCACATGCTCTGCACATTTTGGTGTTTTCCTGACTGTACATACTTGGCCAAGACCACAAGTGGATTGTAAATTAGTGAATTAGTGAATTTAGGTGTGTTAGATGAGAAAAAACACAAAAATGTGCACAGTAAGGGGTCGCCAAGACCGGGCTTGGGAACCCCTGCTTTAAAATTTGGAGAAAAAACATCCTGGCCATTTAGGGGTTAAATAATATGATCAATTGTGCTTAATATGAGCAAGAACATGGAACTAAGTAAAAAGGTCTATTATGATTTCAGAATATCTTTAAAATACTCTTATATTTAATAGCTAAAATACAGTGGGGAGCCCGCACCCTCTTGTGGTGAAAAAGAGCAATGAACTGAAATGTGAGTCAAAACTCGTAGACCAAGGGTATTCAACTCCGAGCCCAGAGGGCATGCACAGTTATTACTTTGTAGCTTTAGTTTCCACAAATATGCTGTTAATGCAAGGTTATTTCCAATTACTGCAGCTGTCCCTACAGCCACTAACGCTTAAAGTCAGAGCCAGTCAACGGTGCAGTGTGTAAGATTTAGGAGGATCTATCAGCAGAAGTGGAATCTAGTATACAAAACCACACTTTCATTAGTGTTTAATCACCTGTAACTTCAATTCATGCTTTTGTTAGCTTAGATTGAGCCCTTCATGTCTACATTGGGGGCAGGTTCTCTTCCAACAGAGGCAGCCAGTAGCCCAGAACGGACAAACCAAACACTGGCTCTAGAGCACCTTTCATGTTTTTATGACGAAGCAGTGGCTTGAATTCTGTGGCGCTGTAGCACCGATTGGAAGACGCAGAAAGAAGAAGACTCAGTGGTTGCTGCTGGTGCTGGCTGACCATTTTGTCTTGTGAGAAGTTTGAGACTGGAGGATCACGCTCATTATTTAGCACGAGAAAAAGCGAGGGTCGCGAAGAAGCAAAAACCTGACAAAAACTGTTGGTTCTACTACACCAGGGGTCGCAACCCAAATGTTAAGAGCAGCCATTTTGTCCTTTTAACAATAATCACCTTGAGAGCCATGTTTTATGTCTATTTTACCATCTTGGCTGTAAATATGTCTCAGTATAAGCTAATGTACTAGTACAGGCTAAAAATGCAATATAAACAAAAACACAGACTTACTTTGCTCTGCTTTAAGCTTTAGCTCAGCTATAGCCGCATTTCTCGCATCTCCAGCAGTAAACTTTTCCTCAAAAGTGGAACAGTTTCTTGTAAAATTTCTCCAACATTCGATTTTTTTACAGGCTGAAGTCGCTTCTCATTCATCAGCTTCATGTTCACATTTTCCTGTTCCACCTTAAATGGCACCAGAATGTAACTGCTGCACCATTTAAGGTGGAATGGGACAATTCAAACAAGAAGCTGACTTCAGCTTCATGACTTTTTAGTGTTTGACAGTTTCTTGTTGCAGATTAATCGTATCAGGAAACCAGCTGGAGTGATTATAAACTCAAATCAATACAATTTGTCTCCAAATCATCAATGTTCGTCATAAATCTTTCTCTTTGCCGTTTCGTTAGCTACTAGCTAGGCGAGATTGTCGTCTGTGTTGCTATGGTGACCAGCAGTCCAGGCTCAAAGGTTGGTGAATCAGCAGTTAAAGACTACATTAACTCCAGAGTTTAAGACCATTTATTGTTAAACTGTGATCAGCTGTAAAGGAGGATTATTTTATTTTTACCTAAAAATCAAATTCTGCTGTGGAGCCACAACAGGACAGTAAAAGAGCTGCATGTGGCTCCGGAGCCAAACCCTGTACTACACGCTTGGAAAGGGAGGGGTGAGGGAGGGAGGGGTGTTCAGTCGGTTGCAATCTACAGCAGTTTCGCTAGACGCCACAAAATCTTACACACTGCACCTTTGCACAGCCCGGCCACCTCCTGTTCCTCCCTTTATACCAAAAACGTGACTGCAAAACATGGAAGTGAGCCCTCAGTGAATACACGTGAATAGAGTGAATGACATCATGTACACACTGCACTGTCAGACAGTCTTCTAACTGGAGCTAAAAGCTTCAAATATCTGTGCTAGAATATTTCATGCTGTTCTGCATTGAGAAAATGATGCATTTGTCTGTATAAAGTGATTGACTATGTAGGGACCAAATCACTACAAGGCCTGGCCACAACATGAGCTCTGGTACCTGACTGACCAGATGACTTCTCAACAGGGTTTATGACCTTGAGGGATAAGGGGGTCATGGAAGCCTTCCTGGGGGCAAGGCTCGACTTCATCTAAGAGCGTTGTAAAAGGGGGCCTGTCTTAACTCAACCTTCTTTAAGGGTGACAAACCAAAAGCCATAAAATGGAAAAGGTACCACTCTGACCCGCCAGGGGGTCTTGAGCCAGCAGCTCAATGGACACAGCCTTCAACAAGGCATGAATGTCCCATTTTCACAAAAAGACAATGTCCTATTAGCAACACAGATGGGAAAATTTCATAGGATGTTCAGAGCATCATGTGACATTAGATATGATTGTGAAATGGTATGATGTCATACGGATGTGTAATTTATTCTTTTCCCTCAAGTGTGTATGCAATACGCAAAACAAGTCACGTTCCGTCTTGATTAAACTCATGTCAGAGACACTGGAATGATCTTCAAAGCTGTGTGACACAGCAGTTACATGATAAGGACATAATGTGGATTTTATGTCCAGTATCACAAGGAAAGCCTGATGGCCATGGTGATGACTGGAGGATGACCTCGGACTCATCCACTAGCAAAGAAGCACCAGTCAGCACTGAGGAATGAGCGTGACAACGAGTGGGTTGCCTCCACACCTAAGACCCCATAAAAGTCAAAGCATCTCCAGTTTTCTTTGAAGTTGTGAATTGGAGGTCTTCCTTTGACTTCTGAACAGCCTGACCTTTCGGCTGACCCCATTTTGAAGACGAGACCACACATGCAAACTTCTGGTACCTCTTTCTGTGTTTTACAAACCTCCTGAGGCAGAGCCCTATTTGTGTCCGGCATGAGCTACATCACTGAACCCAAGATCACACTTTCGAGCGAAAGCACAAGCTTCTCTTGGCTTCTCTACCAAGATTGGCATGATGGGAAGTCTCAGGACGTGTACACCCTCTAGAATCTAATTTGTTGTAACTTTGTCATCATTGTTTGTCTTCTTACACAAGGTGTTAATTAATCCTTCTTTTGGTTTTCATTCAGGCAACTTAACAGTACTGTCTATTTGACTTTACCTCTATTGCTTAGATTTCTCATATTACTTTGTTCAGTTTATTTTACTTTGTACACTGTAGTATTTTCCTATTTGCATATATCTTTCATTACGTTTTTTGTGCTTTGTTATTAAACTTTATGAATGTTCTACCCGTGTGTGCATATCTTCTATCACAAAAGTTCTAACAGCTAAGAAAGAACTCCACCAAATCTGAGTAGTCAAATTTCCTTCACATAACAAGAACATTATTACTGTTTCTACTGTTATTAACAGTCTCTGTAGGGTTAACTATCAAGTATACCGCATTCGGAGACTGTCCTGTTGGACTGGTGCCCCAGTTATAATGAATTATTATGATTCATAATAATTTGTAACACTTTAATTAACAGTTATAATTTACCCAAAACTACCTACAAATCAGTTTTGTTTAAAAGCTCCAAAGGAACTCTTTCATTTCAGACTCAGGAGCACCCTCTAGTGTCTGACCAACCAATTCTCCTCACTAGAAATTTTGTGCTTTAAGGGTCCATTTCATTGAGAAGCTTCCCCAAAACCTATTTGAAATAAAAGAATTTGAGGCAGTAGGTAAACATGGTTAATGCTTCAAAACATATCATTCGCTCCCCAGTCCATACAGTCCATATACAGAAACTAAACATTTTTTTTTTCATGACATCATGCAAACCAGTCCAATTACATACCTCTGCCTTTCCTCTTAGAGCACTTTAGCTCCACCTATTAGCAACTTGTAAGAAGCTTTTCACCTCTGAGTGCTTTCTGAACATAGGGGCAGCCAATCAGAACAGAGATCATTTATCTTATAGCAGCCTTAAAAGTAAAGAGATGTTGGATAATGATTATGTATAAATGCATTATGACTGTTTTTGGTACAACCACACAAACGTCATAAACAGAAATACAATAAAAATATAGGATATGGGCCCTTTAAGGTCCCCAGTGTCAGAACTGTTGACGCTGTAATGGCATTGCTGTGAAATCATCCAAAGCTACCTCAATTTACACGGTCCGTGTCATGTTTCATGACCAAATATGATTTGGTTACATCAGTGGTTCTCGATCCTGGTCCTGGAGTACCACTGCCCTGCGTATTTTAGTGTCCTGTTCTTACACAATTAGCTGACCTCAGGAAGGGCTTAATTAGTTGAATTAGGTGTTTTGGGAGAAAATGTGCAGGGTAGAGGTACTGCCCAACAAGGAATGAGAACCACTGGGTTAGATGTTCGGAGTATGTGCGGACAACTACTCTATCCATACTATAATCCATCTACAATACCATCAAAGCACTTATGACAAACCAAACCATATGACACTGTAAGACCTTTTGGCAATTTATTTAACTGGTGAGTCATTTTAAGAGGCTGAAAGACTTGTAGGTGTGTGTATGTAGAGTTTTGCGCTCAGTGACTCCTGCGTGTTGAGCTTAGGCCTGGTCTTCTACCTCTTTGTGAAGGGGGTGTTAATCCTCTGCTCCACTTCATGGTTTGCATCTTTCTCTGTGCCTCTTGGTCTTTTGGATGTGAAGAAGCCTCTGTAAATAATGCATTTTGTTATATGTTGCCAGGATATACAAAAATATGAATATATTACAACATATTCATAAGACATACAGTATTTTGCAAACATTTTAGGCACCTGAGAAAATGTGTAAAACATTATTTAATTGGGCAGCAAATGTTAATGTGCTTAAAAGCAGTATTAGAATAAATAAAAATAGAATGTGTACTTCTTGTCAAAGCCCAGTATTATCTGAAGTTACCATCCATAACAGAGTTTATCTAACTAATCTTGCATTAAATTAAATAAGATGTAAATTAAATGAGATCAGCTCTTAAAATATGAACTACTTGTTTGACAAGGAATTCTTATGTTTTACTGTGTTAACGTCTGTTTGAATTAATCTTCGTTATATTAGGGATGTAAAACAACAATGTATTGTATCATACTGTACTATTGTATTGTGACAAGCATGTTAGCTTGTGGTTAAGTGTGCTAGCTTAGGGCTGACATACAGTTATATGCAAAAGGTCATTTACATGTTCTGTTGGTTTTCTAAGTGAAAGTAAGTTAACACATCCTCTTTAGGAAACACACTTAAATGTGGCATTTTAGAAACACACAATATACAATGTGCCACAACTTTTGTAGAAGCCATATTTTATGTTTTATTTGTTCACCAATATGTAAAATAGCAAAAAACAGTAATTTCTCTGTAGAGGATGTTTTATCCTCACAAAGAAGATCAACTAAACTATTCAAATTAATTGTTTGCTCCACCTCTTTCCCTGTTTTGTACTACAATACTTTATACTAACAATGTTTACTATCCGGTGTCGACCAGAGGAGGATGGGTTCCCCTTCTAAGTCTTGGTTCCTCTCAAGGTTTCTTCCTGTTTCTCTTAGGGAGTTTTTCCTTGCCACTGTCACTACTGGCTTGCTCATGGGGGCTTGGACCCGGATTTCTTTTTGTAATGCTCATTTCCTTGTAAAGCTGCTTTGTGACAACACCTGTTGTAAAAAGCGCTATATAAATAAACTTTACTTACTAAAACTTTACTAAAACATGTATTTAGACTGGGGCACCCACACTTTTGCATACAACTGTATCTTGTGGCTACAGCTTTAGATCAGAACACTAAAAAGCACAGCTTTCTTTTACTTTTATCATGCTGAAAGGTCCAAAATAACTTAAAATGGAGATTAACATATTATTACAAGGCACATGTTCAGCCACTCATTTTTGCTGTATTGAAAAATACACTACGGTATCATATTGAAAAAAGAATGTGAAATACAGGGGGTCTCTTAGACCCCTGAATGTCGCAAAATCAAAATTCTGGGGGTCCCTCAAACTAAACTTATTATGATGTTGTGCTTTGCGTCAGGGAAAAACAGTTGCTCAAATGCAAATTCAATATCCAGCCAACAGCGTCCTGTGGGCAGCGTCCTGTGACCATTGATGAAGGACTAAACGACTAACACAAACTGTGCAGCAGCAGATGAGCCACTGTCTATGACTTTACATCTACAAGGTGGACTGACAAGGTAGGAGTGTCTAATAGAGTGGACAGTGAGTGGACACAGTGTTTAAAACTCCAGCAGCGCCGCTGTGTCTGATCCACTCGTACCAGCGCAACACACACTAACACACCACCACCACAGTGGTCAGTGTTACTGCAGTGCTGAGAATGATCCACCACTCAAATGATAACTGCTCTGTGGTGGTCCTGCGGGGGTCCTGACCACTGAAGAACAGTGTAAAAGGAGGCTAACAAAGTATGCAGAGAAACAGATGGACTACAGTCTGTAACTGTAGAACTACAAAGTGCACCTATATAGTAAGTGGAGCTGATAAAAAGGACAAAGAGTGTAGAAACAAGTGGCTGGTTGGTGTATATTATGTTACTTTTTTGCATGGGAGGAAGCTTTTCCAAGGCATGGCCAGGAGACTCTTTGCTCTGCAGCAGCTCAGTGACCTCAATCATGTTGCGGCAGGTGCTCCAGGACCAGGAATATGTGCTGAAGGTTTGTGGGAAATGTTTGCAGCGATGCATCCGGCAGTAGGTCTGTAAAGATCTCCAGGAGTTCCAGAAGTCACGCCGTTTATACAGAGCCAGCGTTTTCAGGTACTGATTCAGGCCCGACTGAGACTGGAAAGAGCAAAGAGAGACAGGCTGAAGTTTGGAGTTCTGTGTTACAGTGCAGGCCAGTGACTATCAAAGCGACATATCAAGACAGCATACATGAAGTGTCCACTAGAGGGTGACAAAAGGATCCCAGCCTCCATTAAACTGGAGGTTTTGAACAGGAAAACTGCTGTCCAGTAAGAGCTGATAGATGTGCTCATGTGCTTTCTGACAATAAAACTGGACAAAAGTATGTTGCATAGAGCAAATCAGCAGCATCCAACATAAAGCCTGAGTTCTGTCTGTACTTTTGTCCATTTTTATAGATAACAATGTGTCACGTAAGCAAATCTATTTGAGATTACTGAACAACAACAGTCTGAAGCCAGCATGCGATGATTTAAGCATGCAGTTTACACAGTGCTAACTTAAAGACTATAAGCTTCCATTATCTGTTAGCTACATTAGCCTCGTAGCGCCACTGAAAATCTAAAGAAGCAAACTTCAGACATCAAACATGTCTTGACTGATAGACTAAATTTGTAGTAAGGGTAAAATTGTTTTAAGTACCCATAAAGTAAAAATTAAAATGTAAAAAAAAAAATAATCTATGTTGAATAATAAATTGCTAATGTTTGTATGCAACTGTAGGTGGGAGTGTGTAGCCTGTGGGTGCGTGGCTGGGCAGTCTGAGGGAATCAAAATTGTTGTTGTTTGTCTTTGTGAAAACCAGTAAACAAAATTAAAATAATATATTTTTGTGTATTATTGCTATTATTATTATTATTAGAAAGAAACTACTAAAAATGGCATCAACTTCCTTTATTTTGACTTAAAAGCCCATTGAAGGTGACCCACGTTTACAAGGTAGCCGAGCAAGTTAAAAAGGGATTGAAAAAAAGGTAAGATAATGTTTGTCAACTAAAACAAATGAGGTACAAAAGTAGAGCCCCACAAATTGCTTTTTCCAGTATTTAAAGTCTTTTCAATGGAAAAATGTGAACTCTGTGCTATATTAACATATTTGATACAAATATCAGTCTATGTAACTATAGCATGCCATCCAAGCAGAGTTAACTATCTACAAAAAAAAATAAAAAAAAATAGCTGTGCAGGGTTCTTTACATTTAGTTTTCTGTCAAACTATTTCTTTTAAAAACAGCTTACCATGGACTCAATCTGCTTGATCTGATCAAAGGAGAGGTGGTCTCTTTCTTTCAGCGTCAGATTCACCTTGATCTGCACTGGGGTGATCATCTCCTTTGTTTCCATCCCAGGGTGCTTGATCGACAGCTGGAATAATAACACACATATTATTCCATCAGGGAAGCACATTATTTTACATATCGTGAGTAGAGGAATGTGCACTGATATTGAAGGCAGAAGAGACGGATCAAAACACTGCATTTCTACCTTTCGTAATCTATCTTCGATCTCAACAGTCTTCCATGTCTTGGTGGTCTTCACTCGGCCCACTGGTGTCAGCACGCCGTGGTGTAGAGACATGTGCATGTGAGTGTAGTCAACTTTCACACTTGGGTGTTTTAGATAAGGACTCTTCTTTTGAGAGCTCTTCTCTTCTGTTAAAAAGAAAAGCACTGTTAATCTGACGTGCACACCTAGAACAGAGGTCGGCAACCCAAATGTTAAGAAGAGCCATTTTGTTCTTTCAACAAAAGTCAAACCACCTTGGGAGCCACAACATTTTATGTCCATTTTACCATCTTGGCTGTAAATATGTCTCAGTAGCTCAGCTATAGTATATATATACTTTTCTCGCATCTCCAGCAGGAAACTTTTGCACAAGAGTAGAACAGTTTCTTGTAAAATGTCTCTTAATGTTTGACTTTCATCTTTCTAATTCGCCAGCTTCTTGTTTGAATTTTCCTGTTCCACCTTAAATGGTGCCTGAGGCGCCAGAATGTAACCCCTGCGCCATTTAAGGTGGAACGGGAAAATGTGAACAAGAAGCTGGTAAATGAAAAACTGACTTCAGCTTAACGACTTTTCAGGCTATTGGTCTCTAAATTATCGATGTTCATCTTAAATCTCTCTCTTTACCTTTTCGTAAGCTGCTAGCTAGGCAAGATTCTTGTTGCTATGGCGACCAGCAGTCTGCACGCCAATCTTCAGGGTTAAAGGGTGAATTAGCAGTTCTACATTAATTCCAGCATTTAAGATCATTTATTGTTAAACTGTGTTGAACGATCAGCAGAGCTTTATTTTACTGTAAAAGAGGATTATTTTATTATTACCTACAAATCTGATTCTGCTGTGGAGCCACAACAGGGCAGTAAAATAGCCGCATGTTGCCGACCCTTGAGCTTGGCCATATACAGCACTGTGCAAAAGTCTTGGGCAGTCATATTTTGTGATTGGTTAAAAGAATCCAGTTAGAAGAACAGAGGTTTGATTCCTGACTTCTCACCATCGCATGGATTTGTTAAAGTCCATCAGCAGCACCTGATTTAATTTAATTAAGGATTGATTAGATCATGTTTGTTTATTTATTCTGTTCTATAAATGCTTACTGCCCAGATAATTTTAAATATAATTTTCTCAGATGATATCTGAACACTACTGTACATGTAAGGGGTAGAGTTGTAAATGCCTGACCTCATTATTCAGTTCAATTAAAATTCTGATTCTGAAGTATATTTTAAAATACACTAAATTGACAAATATGACTGATGGAAGTATTTACACAGTACTGCAGTATTGTAAATAAAAAAAACTGTACAGTATATTTTTTGTTTGGGGGCATTTTTACAGCCTGAGAATTTTATGTGGGCCACAAAAATGACTACATACATTGTTGAACAGTAGACTGATTACAATCAATCAATCAGATGTGTTTCATACTCAGAGGCTTCATGTACTTCATCAGCTGTTTGCAGTTGAGTCCGAGCAGATGAGCCCCTCTGGAATAATATGTAATAATGTGGCCGCTATCATCATCCAGACGTGCTGTCTGACGAATCAGACGAAGAATCTTCGTATGGTAGAACCTACAAGTAAAATGTTTTTTTAAGTGCCTTGTAAATTATGCATGTTTTTACAACTTCTAATACGTGAGCTTGCAATTTAATTAAAAATTAAAAAGGCTTCTATCTATATACTGTATATATCTGTCTATGTATCTGTCTATCTATCTGTCTGTCTGCCTGTCTATCTAACATAAAAGACAATATGCTATATGCAATATGGTATCTCAGTTTTTCACTGAGAAACTGTTTCTTGACCAAATAATAATAAGAATTAGATTTGCATTTCCTGAAGGAAATTCAGTGCTTGCAAGGCAAGAAAATATTACAAATATTAGATATATAATATTAATAATATAATATCTCTAAACAGTGAGTCGTAGAATTCAAATGTAATGAAATGGGAAGAAAAGAAAAAATAAAAGGGAGGAAGCAAAAAGAAAGAAGTAAGGAAAGAAGGAAGAAAATTAAGAAAGAAAGAAAGAAAGAAAGAAAGAACAGGAAAGACAAGGAAGGAAGGAAGGAAGGAAGAGAAAGAAAGAAGAAAAGAAAGAAAAGGAAAGAAAAGAAGGATGGAAGAAAGAAAAGGAAGGAATTATGGAAGGACAGAAGAAAAAGAAGGAAGAAATATAGACAATAAAAAAGAAAAGGAAGGAATGATAGAAGGGTGGAAGAAAAAGGGAAGAAAAAAGACAAAGAAAAAGAAAGAAAGAAAAAGAAAGAAAAAACAAAAGAAGAAAAAGAGGAATTAAGGAAGAAACAGAAATAAATAAACAAAAAAGATATAAGAAAGCAAGAACAGAAGAAAAAAGGTAGAAAGAAAGAAGGCAAGAAGAAAAAGAACGACTAAAAGAAAGAACATCTGTAGCATTAGACAACTTGAGGCGAGTTAAAGTTCAAATAATGAAAATAAGGATAAACAATGAAAAAACTGAAATCAGTTGTTTTAAATACAAAAATAGAGGACTGAAAAACAAAAAGAAAGAACAAGGAGAATGGAGGATGAAAAGAAAGATGAAATAAAGGAAAGCTGAAGTATGAAGTGAAGTGAGGAGGCTGAAAACTCATAAAGAGGCTGAAGGTTCTCAGCGTGCAGCAGAAGACACTGTGAACAAGAACAGCCAATCAGCTTCAGTGAACAGTGAGCACTGCTTACTGTACAATCTCTCCTGCAGTGCTGCGAGGCAGAGATCCAGCGTTCAACAGTTTAGCCAGAGCTACATAAAACACCTTTTCTGACAAATCCACTCCGTCTGCACCCTCAGCTAGAGAGAACCAGAGAAAATACAGAGGAGAAAGTTAGACCATCTAAATCAATGATTAATGCGGCGGTGGTGTGTTAGTGTGTGTTGCGCTGGTCTGAGTGGATCAGACACAGCAGCGCTGCTGGAGTTTTTAAACATCTCAGTGTCACTGCTGGACTGAGAATAGACCACCAACCAAAAAGCCAGCCAACAGCGTCCTGTGACCACTGATGAAGGACTAGAGGATGACCAACACGAACTGTGCAGCAGCAGATGAGCTATCGTCTCTGACTTTACATCTACAAGGTGGACTGACAAGGTAGGCGTGTTTAATAGAGTGGACAGTGAGTGGACACAGTGTTTAAAAACTCCAGCAGCACTGCTGTGTCTGATCCACTCTTACCAGCACAACACACACTAACACACCACCACCACGTCAGTGTTACTGCAGTGCTGAGAATGATCCACCACCCAAATAGTACCTGCTCTGTGAGGGTCCATGGGGGTCCTGACCACTGAAGAACAGGGTAAAAGGGGGCTAACAAAGTATGCAGAGAAACAGATGGACTACAGTCTGTAACTGTAGAACTACAAAGTGCACCTATATAGTAAGTGGAGCTGATAAAATGGACAATGAGCGTAGAAACAAGGAGGTGGTCGTAATGTTATGCCTGATCGGTGTAAATAATACTAAAGATAAAAAAAAATCTAAGATAAAAAAAATTATCTCTATCCATCTCATAAACTCTACTCACAAAAACTAACAATATAAGCATCATAAACAAAAAAGCAAAAAAATTACACTGTAAGGATATCTTACCCAAATTGCACAAGAAATATTATACATGGGAATAGTGATTTATTAACAGTTTAAACCTTATAAATAGAAAAAATCAAAAAAATCTTTACACTATAGAGATATTTTTTAAATACTGATGAATCATTTAAGGTATGTTGGTGAATGAAAGGCCTGTGTGCAGAGCTGATGACCCACCTTCCACACATTTGGAGAACTGCTGGCAGTCCGTCATCACAGACAGGAAGTCGTGAAATCCCACCACTCCATCCTCTATAGCACACCAAATTGATAAGATGGACTTTGTTCAGTGATCTAATGGCATTTTACCACCAGGCAGTACAGTAAAGCACAGTGCAGTTACAAATCTGAACCTTGATCTGTTAGTATGTTGGTTGAGTCCCTGTGTCTGTTTCCCATCACATAACAGGACTGTGAAAGTAGTTATCTTTAGCTTGAGGTTAGCTGGCTTTCAGATTTACCCTTTACTGCATTTGGTTTTATGTGAGAGTCAAGGTGAGTCTGGCAAGCCAGTGTTTTTTTTTGTGGCAGTCATTTGACTCCAGTGACACCACTTGATGAGTGCTTTGCATCATTATTGCTCCATTATTATACAAAAACAAAAACATTACAAAAAAAATAAAACATATTAAATGCCACGTTCACAGCCCAATTTATTAATTTCTTACTTTATTTATTTAACTGTTGTATAAAAGCAATAGAACACTCGAGGTTGTGTGATATCGTGAATAACTGCGACCAAATCACAGCCTTGATGTTATTTCGCGATAACACTCTCCCTCTCGTGTTCTATTTTTATTTTTTATTTATTCATTTTGAATAAACAATGGCCAGTTCGGGTTACAGCATAAACATTATTAAAAATGAAATAAAAACATTTTTTCTCTGGCCCACAGATTTATTGAGATGTTTTTATTTGGCCCCTTTAATGGTTCAGTTTGACACCCCTGCTCTAAATTCATACTTAGAAGACAGTGTGACATACCATCATAGTCGGCCCTCTTCAGAGCGGTCTGAACTTCCTCTGAGCTGATGGAGATTCCTACGGATTCCAGAGTAGATCTCAACGCTTCTGCATCAATACACCCCTGACTGTCCTTATCAAAACACTCAAACACAGTCCTAAACGCTGAGAGACAGACAGCGAGAGAGAGAGAGACAGAGAGAGAGAGAGAAACGCTCCATTTACTATACATAGTTCATATCATGAATCAACATGTACAGTACTGTGCAAAATTCAGAGACCATTTATTTAATTACTCTTTAATTATCATTACTTATCATTATACATACATACATACATACATACATACATCATCTAAACCGCTTATCCTTCTGGGTCACGGTGGGGTGCTGGAGCCTATCCCAGCTGTCATTGGGCAGAAGGCAGGATAGACCCAGGACAGGTCGCCAGCCAATCGCAGGGCAGACAGACAGACATACACATTCACATTCACACACACACACACACACACACACACACACACACACACACACACACACACACACACACACAAACCTCGAGGCAATTTTAGCATGTCCAATTGGCCTGACTGCATGTCTTTGGGCTGTGGGAGGAAACTGGAGTACCCGGAGGAAACCCACGCAGACACGGGGAGAACATGCAAACTGCACACAGAAATGACCCTGGTCGCCCGGCCGGGAATCGAACCCAGGCCACTCTTGCTGTGAGGCGACAGCGCTACCCACTGTGCCACGTATCGTCCCTTTATCATTATAGATTACAGTTAATGTTAGTGATTAGATATAAGACAATCCACTTGCACAAAGAAGCAGAAAGTTAAAGCAACCTAGGTGAAAAAAACTGGATTTTACAAAACTGGAGTTTCAAAAAACGAAAATATACAGAGAAAATGGGACAACCATCAAAACTCTCCCCATCAGATAAACAGCACTTAAAGCTTTCATCTTTGAGAGAGAGGAGAAAATCAAGCTGCTTCAGATCTGAAAACATCCACAGATGTTTCTGCACTAACTCAGCACTATGGGTCTGAAAGGATGTGAAGCTGTAAGTAAAAAAGAAATCAAAGAAACTGATGATGTTCTGAGAACAATGGACTGGCCAGCCCAGAGCCCAGGGGCTGGTTGCACCAAGTTCAAGGTTTACACATTACTTAACCAAAATGAGTTGCGCCATACAGACTAGAATTACGTTGAACTTAGTTTCTATTACATATTTACACTTCTGCCTGAGCAGGTCTAGTGTTCAGGGAACCAATGAAAACCACACAGAAAGGACAAAGAAGTCCTAAACATGAGCTGGCCTTTCTTGTTGGAACAGCTAAGTCAGGGGTTGGCAACATGCAGCTCCGGAGCTCCATGCGGCTCTTTTAATGCCCTGTTGTGGCTCCACAGCAGTATCAGATTTGTAGGTAACAATAAAATAATCCTCCGTTACAGTAAAAAAAAAGCTCTGCTGATCGTTCAACAGTTTCAACAACAAATGCTCTTAAACACTGAAGATCAGCGCACAGACTGCCAGTCGCCATAGCAACACAGACAACAATCTTGCCTAGCTAGTGGCTATTAAAACGCGAAGAGAAAGATTTAAATCAATAATTTAGAGACTGATGGACAGACTTATTTGCGTTTATAATCACTCCAGCTGGTTTCCTGATATGTTTAATCTGCAACGAGAAACTGTCAAACACTAAAAAGTCACAGTCACAAAAAGTCTGCATTTTTCTTTATGTTTTTAGACTTTAGGACTCAGTGCACTTTAGCACGTACTGAGACATATTTACAGCCAAGATGGTAAAATTCACCTAAAATGTTGTGGCTCTCAAGGTGGTTTGATTTTTGCTGAAAGGTAAGTAGTTTTATTGAATTGTAAACATAACAAAACATAAACTTGCAAGACTCTTTTTTTAGACTGGATATTTTTCCACGCAAAGCAAAATGTGCAAGCTGCCGTCGCTTTCCACGGCAGCAGATTTGTAGAATGGTCGTGAGTATGCTTTCGTCATGTTAAAGCTGTTACTAGTTCAAACATGACTTAAGGATTTGTGATGCAAATGAATTTAGCAAAAGGACAGGCTTAAAACTGACCAGTGTTAACTAAAGGCTTTACAAATGAACTGAAATACAGATGTAAGCAAAACCAGTGTAACTCAGTCCAGACCTCAACATCACTGTGTTCGGGATTATGTCAATTATGAAAATCGAAAAAAAATTGTAAACAACTTCAAGACTGACCTTTGGAGGTGTGGAAAAATAACTCGGCAGGTTTCTTTGAAAAACTGAAAGCTTGTCTTCTGAAAAGAACAGAAACTGTAATAATGATAAACGAGTGGACACATAAATACTAAAAAAATGGAATGGAAATGAAAATGAATGGTGGTCTCTCACTTTTGCACAGTACTGTATATACAATTTGATACACCTACCTTGTATCTAAATTCATTGTCCATTTCATCAGGTCTCAACTCTAGCAACACTGCTGTGTCTGATCCACTCGTACCAGCGCAACACCCACCCTCTATCATAGACATCCCTCTAACATCCCTCTACCATAACAGTGTCACTGCAGTGCTGAGAATGATCCCCCACCCAAATAATATCTGCTCTGTGGTGGTCCACTGATAAATGGGGTGATGGAGGAGGTTAACAAATAAAACCGAGAAACAGATGGACTACAGTCTGTAGAACTACAAGTGCACCTACATGGTAAGCAGACCTGATACACTGGACAATCAAGTGTAAAAGGTAGGTGAACCTAATAAATGGCCAGTGTGTTTAGTAATATATCTTTGTAAATTTAATGTGCTTTAAATACTGCTCCTTTCAAACTAACGGGTTCATTTACATTACTGCTAACCACTCACCATTAGTCTGAGCCTCAGTCAGGGGTTCATCTTGTACAACAGAGGGTAAATCTTCCACTTGGTCAATCCCCCTGATATAAAAAGAACAGGCTAATCAGCGTGAAACAGAAATATGTCATCAATTCTATTGGTCTGAAGGTGCTGGTTCAATTATAAAGAGTTTGGAACGTTATAATAGATTATAATAAATTTCATACAACAGTTAGTTCCAGCTATGCAAGCTGATTGGTTGAGAAGCGTTCTAACTGTGCTGTTATTTCGTCATAACATCACAGGTTCTTCACAAACACTGTATCACTCCGCTGAGACGCTGTTGCTAAGCAACGACTTTGACGGCTGTAGGAGATGCTCAAGCCATTTGAACGTTTTTACTTCTTATTTTGCCACAAACAGAAAATGGATACTTTTTCAAATAGAACTTTTGTTGTTTTCATAGGTCCCCTAATGTGTCTCAATAAATGCATTTTCCTCAACTGATAATATTCACTCAATTAACTCATATCATGTTTGTTGCAACACAAATAACTGTGATCAGCTAAAATTGTGATTACGTGATTAGATAATGATTGTGACAGGCCTAGTGGTTGTGTTGTCACAGCACATGGGTGTTTGCTTTACAAGCTCCACATTATTAGGTTTTTGCCACATTTGCAACTTACTTAATTTCTACAAATATATTTCACTGCATAAACAGCTCTTCCAGTCACATTTGGGCGTTCATTCATGTCAATTCTGGAGCCTATGGTGAAATTCGAGCTTTCATAGTTCACTGAATTCCTAAACAATCATAATCTAATTGAATTGTTATGAATTCTGAAGTTGACTCACTTAGCTTCAAATATTGTCTTCAAATGAAGCAATTTTGCACTAACAAGTTGTATCTGCGTGTTTTTTTTTCAAGATGTCTAACGGTACTGGCTATAGTTGTATGCAAAATTGATTTTCTAAACAAAAATACGCTAACATATCCTCTACACATTTTAATGCACAAATACTGTTTATTGCAACATATTGGAGAATCTGTACAAAACTTTTAGGTTTTATTTTTTTCCCCAAAATGTAAAACTTAGCAAACAAACAGAAATTGTGTACTAAAATTTGCAGTAAAATGTCATGTTATATCATGTTTTTCTGTAGAAGATGTCTTACTTATTTTCAAATCAATGTCACACATGTCATTGAACCAGGGTGCTCAAACCTTGGCATATGCCTGTATACCCACTAGGAAACACTCACAGAGACTGCAGAAACTCTTCCAGGTCCTTGTTGCTAATGGGGCTCACAGGCAGGGACGTCTTTAGCTCCTGATGCTCAGTAACTCTTTTCTTGCCCAGTTTGCCCGTGACTGACTCTGCTGTCATTTGGATGAGCTTTTTTGGAGTGTCCTTTTGGAACATGCGGCCCAGAAAGGTGCTGATACTCCTGGGTTGTCCTGTAGTGTTGGGGCTGGTGTGACTACTGTTAATGTCCTGCCTGGGTTCAAGAGAAGGTCCAGATAAGGCAGCAGGCTCTACTGCATCTGGAGGGTTCTGGAGCTCAAAATGTGTTTCTCTGAGGACAGCGGTCACTGGTCCTGGATTGTGTACCCTAATCTCATCATGAACGTGTGATTTTTCTGTCACCGCATGTCCGATGAATTTCTCATCTAATTCCACCTCGCCATGACCGCTGAGAAGATCAATGAAGTCAAGATGATCCTCTACTGATGAGATAGATACACAGATAGCAAGACAGAAAGATTTAATTTCCAGAAAGACAAATAGACATACAGAAAAACATAATTTATATGACCTTATCATAGTAGCAACACCAGAACTGTACAAATAACATACATTAATAACACTTTCGAGGGTGGCAGTGAGTGATGTTTGTTTATTTGTTCACTTCTGATTGGTCTAATTCATCAACTAACTCAACTCTTAACTTACCAAAAAACAGTTAATTACTACTAATATATTTCACTACTGCATAAACAGCTCTTCAAGTCACATTTGGGCATTCAGTGTATTGTAATTACACCTTTAGAGGGCAGTGGTGAGTGATGTTTGTTTATTTGATGTTTGTTAATAACATCTTTAGAGTTCTGAAGCCATGTGGTCAGAGAGAGGAGAATTCCCACACTGTAATGTCGTCCGGGTTTTTCTCACGCTAGAGGGCGCTCCCGAGCGAGTCCAAAACGAATGGTTTAGGATGGAGCATTTTATAAATGTTTATGCATTTTTAACGTAAAAAGATACATTAATTTCCTGAACATTGAACAGTACAAAACATTCTGACACTGCTGTTAAATTTTTAGGAGCTTTTGAACTGAGTTATAAGAGTGTAAAACGACGCCTCATGTACGTTCATGACGCCAACCAATCAGCACTCAGTAGCAGCAATGTTAGAGTCCTGCTGCCCAAAACCCGTTTGCTATAGAAAAAAGGAAACACACAGCTGAGATTTCTTTGTTTTTTTAGTGAACTACATCCTTCTGCTTACTAAAATAAAAGGAAAGTTCTGGACAAGTGATTAGAAACTATTTTAACTTTTTGTTTTTAGCCGTTTAGCTTCATTTATTCCCATTCATTGAGGACTTGCTCGCGGGCGCCCTCTGCTGTTTTGCAGTCATGTTTTTGATGTAACAGGGGAAATAGGAAGTGGTCAGGCTCCTCATAAACCAGCTCTGATGTTGTCACTCTGTAGTTGGCCTCAAGCCTATATTAGCAACTCTGGGTCTAAGCTGGATTTGTCTATGGCAAAAATGAATGAGATTTTCTAAAATTGTCTCCACTGCATGCTGTGCTTAACAAAATTGGTTCCAAACCTGCTATATTTTGTGTCACTGGATCCTCTCAACTCGAAATATAAATTTTGCTACATGCGAACTAACACTGTTACACACGAGGGGTGGGCAATATGATGATATTTTATTGTTATTGTGATATAATTATGTCACAATACGCTTTTCTGAGCATATCGTGGATATGGTCTGTACTCAAAGCACATTGACTACGTTTCATTACAAAGTGAACACAAATAGATTTAGTGCAGCATAGTTTGTTACTCATTGAATAAAAATTACTGTAGATGCATTATTATTATTATTATTATTATTATCATATTATTTTATATGCAGCAAAATCTACAAGATGCTTTCAAGAGACATAAACAACACAGGGTTTGTATGTTTATAAATGCGTGCTTGACCAGCACCGAATATTTACTGGTAGGTGCTTCCAGTGTTGAGACCATGTGGGTCTTGATTTTACCTGAAGTGGCTGTAGAATCTTCTTCTGACACCTCAGACATATCTTTTACGTCTGGCTGATCTATTTCAGGTGAGTTTGTTGGGGTTGTCTGCTGACTCTCGGCTCTGCTTCTCTGTGCAGACTCATCAGGATCATTGGTGGAAGCCTGCATTGGCACCATATATCAAACCAAATCAAATTACATTCATTGTCACATCACACTTACACAGGTGCAAAGGTGAGTGCGTAACCTTCTTGTACTACTTAAATATAACAATAAACTAAAAGTATATAAAAATAGTTTATTTAATTTATTAGTATATATTAATGTGGACGCTTAGAGTCTAATGTATATATATATATTTATATTCATTAGACTCAATATATATTTTTTTATACAGTTTGTCAGCCCATGAGTCATCTTTGTACTTGCTCTGGCTATGATGGCCAGTCTTGTGCTGTATTACCTCCACTGTGACCTCTGTGTTTTCAGACTCTGGCTCACTGTAACTGCTGAATCTCTGTCTCGGAGTTATTCGAGTCAGAAACTGTGAGGCCCTCCTCTGAGCAGCCTGTGACAACAACAAAGAAACCAAAAACTCCTTCAAACTAGTACAGTGAACGACAAAACAGCATAAATTTGAGAACAGGAGATCACTTCAGAGCACTTTTGGAACATTACTTGGTCCTACCTCTTTCCAACCCCTTTCCTCCTGCATCTTTGGGAAGGAGCTGTTTCACTGCCAATTAGTTGTAATGCACTCACTGACTCAACAGCGCCATATTCTGGGGAGATGTAGACTACAGAAATGAAATAAATCTTCCAATCAAAACGCAAACACTAACACACAACATAGCAACAGCAACATAACACATATCAATAATGGTGTTTAAGTCAAGAAACTCTAACGTCAAAAACTCAACATAAAACTCTGTGTTAATCATTTGGGCAACATTTGGTCTGGATTTACTGTTATTTACTGTTTTACCCTTAGTATTTTAACCAAAAAAGGTAAAAGCTAGATGGTCTTGTTCAATATGGATTATTTGAAACTACTTGTACCTTTAGTGTATTATTGTAGGTCCACCTTTAGTAGGTCTACTTTAGTCTTTACTATTTTACCTTAGTATCTTAAAATCCACTCAATTCAATCGTTTAAATCTAAACAAAGTCATTCAAAGTGGTTTGATGTGAAATGATCCATTATAGAGGCATTTACTGACTCGCTTCTTTACAGTGGTGGTGATAGGAACCAGAGGTCACAATGTCAACAATGCAAATATAGCCATTTTATTTACTATCCAAACCCACCAGTGAACCTACATGTGTCTTCAGAGATTTTATTTGTAATGTTGATAAGGGTAAAACAGTACAAAAATATGAATAAAATATGAAAAAAAAAATTATTTTGTATGTGCTTTGGGAACTGTTTTGCCTCGCAATGCCCTGAATGTGCCTCTCTGCCCTGAACAGACTTTAAGAATACATTTTAAGCTAAATCTTTCTCTCAGACTATCGTAAAACAACGCCTCAGACATCAGGCAACAAATTCATAACCATTTCGGTGCACTGGCTAATTTTCTGTGATGTTGCATTTAAAGACATCTGGACGTCTGGTTCCTATCACCATCACTGTGAACAGTTCTGACTCAGTAACGGTACATTTCTCTAAAACAGGGCATTTTACATCAGACCGACTTCAATAAATCTACTTTAACCTTTACTATTTTAATCTACTCATATCTTCAGTATCATTTTCACAAGCCAAGCTTTAGCATTTGAATCTTTATCTTGACCAAACTGTTAACTTAGTGCTATCTTTAGGACTTAACACTGACCCAGCTTCTTCACCTCACGATGCAGGAAACGCCAGTCAGAGTGGACAGTTGTTTTCTCTCCTCTTCATCAAAATGAAAACGGTAAAAACAGAAAGTTCATCATTAAAACGCAGCGACCGTTTTAAAGCCGTTTCGTATCAATACAACACTGCAGCTCGACGCCGGCTCGTCCGCGCATGCGCAATGATACGACTGTGACTCCAGCAACGTTAGTGCTAAAAACGCATTAGCGCAGAAAAACGCAGAGATAAAAAAGAGCGTAGTAATTCATGTTGTGATAAAAGCAAGTTAGTGCATTATTTACCAGAGACGTATTTCATTAACGCTTTTAGTTCATTCAGCTCTGTCCAGCGTTAGTCTCTTAACTTTCCGGACGCACGCTGACAAGTGGGTGGAGCCACACTAAGCGTTAGCCAATCAGGCCGTACCACGTCATCAATGCGTTAATTAAAAATATATGCGGTAAACTGTTAAACTGTTGATATTAACAGCTTTTGCTCCTTCTGTGGATCTGCGGATGAAACTTTGACTCACCTATTTTTTCAGAGAACGAACGACTTCTGGTTCAACTTATGTGCTCACATTTTTAACCTTGTCAAAATCACTTATTCCTTTAGTCTCAAAGATAGTACTTGTTACTACAATAACTTTACTAACAGGCCTCTGGAGTATATTGTTCATTTTTTCATTCTACATGCTAAATTCTTTATTCAAATTCTCAGCCAACCCTGTCCCTCTTTTATAGTGGAAATCACTACTCCATCTTGCAGAAACTAAGAAAAGTAATAGAGTCTTGAATTTCTATTACCAGCTTTATGGAGAGACACTTGATTAACTGCCTTTCCTCTTGTATGTATGTGTGTGTGTGTGTGTGTGTGTGTGTGTGTGTGTGCGTGGTAAACATAAACAAATAAGTCATAAAAATATTTCACATTTTTCATTTTTATAACACTTTTTATAGCAGATCTTGTCCCAAAGTTGTTTTCAAGAAATGCAGATCTAGATAATATATATATTTTTTAATTTTTTACTCAAAGCATCAACACATACACACATGTTAAAGGAATAACACACATACCAGTGGCAAAAAAAAAATTAGCTAATCTCATTCTATACACTCATTCATTCATTGCATACATTCTTCTTGTGCTAATTTGTCACAAGAAGAACGTAAAGCTATCATATAATAATGAAATTCGGCATACAAGGTGACAAAAACTGTCCCTTTGCATTTGATGATAAAAATATACATATTATATATGGACATAAGAATTGTATTAGAATTTATATTAAGGTAACTAGAATGATAAAAACACCTGTTCACACTAAAATGCAGGTAGGTTGAAATGAAAGGTGGAAAGATCCAGATGCTATACATGCTCCATAATAGTTCACTCACTATGTCATATTATCTGTTAATGTAAATAAATAAATAAATAAATAAAACAATAAATAACGAATATTCTGTAATTTAGTATTTTACATGATTTTGCATGATCTTGCATCCTGTTAAGGCTGAAAATGAGAGCAATCGCCATCGGCAGGTGCAGTTCACACTTGTCCAGCAGGGGGCGGTGCACTACTGCTAGCTCAGAATGAACGCAGGAAAGCTTTGTTCACGTATGCAGAGTCATTATCTCAGATTTTTCATGACCATAAGCTGAGATTTACTGTCTGCTTTTTAACATCTACCAGCAGTAGTTTGTAGCTTTACTGGTCTTGAAATAACTCAGTTGTAGCTCATTTCTCTGCTCCCTTCAGCTCTGCTTTTTCATTATCAAACAAGCAAATAAACATAAAAAAAACTAAAGAGTGGAGAAGATTTCAAGCAAACAGAAGTTGTGGGATGCACTTCAGCAGAAACACAGAAGCACAGCAGCTCATCTTAGATTGGACTGAAAGAGCAGACTGTGTGTCTGTGGCTGTAAAGCTCACCTCCATTTTGGGGCCTCTCTAGGCAGGTCCCACATGGAAGTGATTACACTGGGAGGAGGAAATTACAGAGCAAATGTACAGCCCATCAGCTTTACTCACGCAAACACAGAGGACTCACTGAGGCAAAAAAAAAAACCTACATAACACTTTCTTTTCCTTTCTCGTCTTCTATCTGACACACATGCACGCCGCTGCCTCGCCTCCAGCAGTACATTTCCACTCCAAACTCTGGGAGTGGGGACAGTGCGGCTGTGTGTTAACTCCCTCCTCCTCTCTCGGGGAGCGTGTGTGTGTGTGCGTAGGGAGAGGGACTGTAAATTCCTCAGGAGGAGCCGTTTTAAAGGCCTCCATTAAACCGTCACTGGCTGACTCGTCTGTCAGGAGCCAGGCTGTAATCCATCACCTGAGGCCTCCAGACCAGGAGCTCGCTTTACACCTCCAGCCCACTCTCCGGCCTCCGCAGCAGGGCAGCCCGCGCCGGCCTGTGGGCCGCCCGCCGGTTCTCATTCTGCTCTGACCGCAACCGCATATGCCTTTTATGCTTCTTGTGTGCTTTATGCTTTTAAAGGGCCCTTGTTTCTTCCCTCCCCTGAGGTCCACTTTGGAAACCAGACATGTCTCGGTTGATAGACTACATTTAGTTTAAAGGCAGAAAATTGTGTGAATTGTCATTGTCACTGAAATATCTTGCTAATTTATGCGACTCATTCAAAAAGATTCCATTATTTACATCACCGCTCAGAAGTTTGGAATCACTTCTTGTATTCATAAATGTTATTCATCAACAACTTATATAGTTTAGATTGAAATGTTACAAACTAGACACCAAAATATAAACTACTGGTTTATTCACAGTTTAAAGTATTTTGGGAAAAACAAGTTAAGCTAAATAACAATTCTTTATTAATAGTCTTTCAAATGTGAGGCATTCTGGACATGAATTTCATTATGAATTTATTCTTGATACTATACAGCTTTTTGAATTATTATATAATCACCGAACCATCTTTTTCTCTTAGAATTAGACAGGCTGTTTTTTTTGTTCCTGTGCCTTTAAGACTGATATATGTTAATGGCTTCTATTATAATTGGCTGCCCTGTATTGTGTCTCAATAGGCTGAAACATGCAGTAACAACACTCTTTTAACACTTCTGTGTGAATAGGCTGAATGGGTGTTTGTATATAAATATATTCACGGGCTGTATGAATATTAATTTTTATATATATATATATATATATATATATATATATATATATATATATATATATATGTATGTATGTACACTGATCAGGCATAACATTATGACCACCTCCTTGTTTCTACGCTCATTGTCCATTGATCCACTCAGACCAGCGCAACACCCCCTACACGCCACCACCATGTCAGTGTTACTGCAGTGCTGAGAATGATGCACCAGCCAAATAATACCTGCTCTGTGAGGGTCCATGGGGGTCCTGACCACTGAAGAACAGGGTAAATGGGGGCTAACAAAGTATGCAGAGAAACAGATGAACTATATATATATATATATATATATATATAAAATATGTATGTCTGTGCCTTTACTTTCTCCTTTGTTATAGACGCACTGAGGAAAATCCCTGACAACTAATGTGGTATGGCAGTAAATATTGATTGAGGTCACAGCTGTTTTGGGATTTGGAAAGGAAGGATAGGAGGCTGAAAAACCAGAAAGTCCTTCCTAAATTCACCCAAAGACTAGCCTGCTGACCACTGCTGTTTACCCAACGGAGTGCTTTCCACACGATTTGAGCGCAGAGGACAGCAAGCAAAACACAACCCAACCCACACGCCTGTGTCTGGTTTTGAAGTTCGAAATGCATTGAGAGGCCACAAATCAGTCGGATTACTTTACTGTCTCATTAGTGTAGCTTTCTGTTTTAAAGGGCCCATATCCCACATTCCCTTACATTTTATATCTGTACTCTGAGATCCATTTTGTGTTTGTGTTCTGAGGGATCAGAAACAGCCATAATCACTGTTTATAATACATTTTCAAACCTCTC